GGGAGAAATAATCAAACAATTTCCCTTTCTTTCTTGCATGCTCTGCTATTTGTAGAGATCTGCTGTTTTTTATTCTGAATATAATTGCCTTTTTTAATGCTGCCCTAATCACCAGGAGCACCCATGTAACTGGTCTTATTCTTATTGCAAATCCACAGACAGGAATAGCCAGATGTAACTCCATGAGGTTCAAAACCTCTCTCAAGAAGTGCATTCCCAGATCTCCACATTTCAGATGACTATAGTTATCATTTAAAGCAGTGGTCACCAACCAGTGGGCCAGGGACCACTGGTGGTCCATGAGAAAATTTTGGTGGTCCGCAAAGAAATGTCACCCCCAGAGCACTCCCCCAAAGCAATTAATCCAGGCTGCATGGTAACACAAGGCTGCATCACCCACATGGCACACAGGAACACAAGGCTTGCATCGCATTGTGAACAACATGAGATACTGGAGGGGGGGGGAAGGGCGGAGGGGGGAACTTGCCCCACTTGCTCCATGCACCTGGCCTGCCACCGGGCTGCTTCTTTCCGCTTCTTTCTTCTTCTGCTTTTGGCTACACGCAGGAAAGCAGAAAAAGTCTTTCTTTCTTTCCCCCAAACTCTGCCAGAAATGAGTCTTTGGGACCCTGCAAAGCCTTCTGTTCCAAGGGGCTGCACCAGCGCGACAAGTCTCACAAAGACTCATTTCTGGAAGAGTTTGGGGGAGAGAAAGAAAGACTGCTGCTTCTGCTGCTTTCCTTGCATGAAGCCAAAAGTCTCTTTCTCTCTCTCTCCCTCTCCCTCCCCACCTCTCCTTCCCTCCCTCCCTTCCTCTCTCTCTCTTTTTCTGTCCCCCCTCCCGCCCGAGAACGGAGCTGGAGATGGTATCCTGCCATCCCAAATAAAGAACAATCAATCGGATCAATAGGGGTGGGGAATTTTCCTGCAGACCTTTGGGGGGATTTTCCAGGGTCTCTGGTCCGCGGGATTTAAAATTATGAGTTTGGTGGTCCCTGAGGTCCAAAAGGTTGGCGACCCCTGATCTAAAGCTATCCAGGTCCAAGCACATACCAATATTCATACATGTGTTATACAATTATGCTGATTCCTTTTATGCAAATTAATCTTCAAGCATTTGTTTTAAAAAAATGAAATACTACCTATGCCTTCAGCTTTTGCTCTTATCCACATATATTTCAGGTAAAACCCCAAGAAACATAGCTATTATAAAAATTGCTTTTTCTTTCTTCACTAATCCTTCAGTATAGTTTTACTACCTCTAAGGCTATTATAAAAATTGCTTTTTCTTTCTTCACTAATCCTTCAGTATAGTTTTACTACCTCTAAGGATATCCTGTGTATTTTTGCCCTTCTCCTCTGCTATTGTATTCTCAGATAGAACAATGTTAGCTCTTTCATGCAATTTGCTGCATGAGTGTTTCCATTTGTGCGTCATCCAGTTTCTTCTCTGCAAATATAAATTATAGAAGAGTATATCTGCAGCTCAGAGTTAGAGTGTAGACTTCTTGGGGTTCTCTAAACTTGGTTATTAGCTGGCAGATGTTTCAGTACCCAAGAAAGTAACATTAGTGTGATGTTACCTACCGTGTTTCCCCAAAAATAAGACCTACCATGTTTTTTGTATGTGCTCAATATAAGCCCTACCTCCCAAATAAATCCTACCTAAGCACCTGCATAGCCAGCCAGCTACCCACTCTGTCTGGTTACTTGCAGTGCTGCTGTAGCAAGGTGAGGTGGGCGGGTGAAGCTGCCCCATGCGCCCCGCATTGGCTTACCTCAAGGCCCCCGCAGTCAGGCCATCCACACCTCAACACCTTCTTTACCTTGTGGCAGCAGCTCCACCAGCCCCATCCAGCAGGACCTTGCATGGCAGCCTGCCCACTGCTTCTGATTGCTCATGTTGCTGCAATGGAGTAGGAGGCCAAGCAACACGCTGATGCCACAGCCACAAGGCAAGGCAGGTGTTGGAGCATGGATGGCTTAGCTGCGGGGGCCCTGGGGTAAACTGGTACAGGGCGCGTCGGGCAGCTTCACCCTCCCTGCCTCACTTTGCAGCCAAGGCACCAGCACATCACTCAGTTTCCTGCTCCATTGTGGTCATGCAAACAAGCAGAAGTGGGCTGGCAGCCACGTGAGATCCTGCTGAAGAGGACTGAGGCAAGTGTTGGAGCATGGGTGGCCTGGCTGCGGGTGCCCTAAGGTAAGACAGTGGGGGGCACATGGGGCAACTCTACCCTCCCTGCCTTGCAGCAGTGGCACTAGGGTGCGACACAGCCTCCTGCCCCACTGCAAGCAAGCAGATGAAGTGGACCTCCCCGGTACTCAAAATAAGCCCTAATGCTTATTTTTGGGGGAAACATGGCAGTAGGGTAATGAAAAGTTTGTAGCAAACAACTAAGCTCAGAAAGCACCAATGAGCCAACAACGCAAACAGTTTGGAACCATTCAGAACTACAATAAAATGATGCAGGCTGTAAACATTTGTACAATAATCAGTAAGTTGCAACTCTCCCACTGCTGCCAGATCTAGCAACGGAAAGCTTGTAACAGATACAGTAGCAGGTAAGATTGGGGGAAAGTAGGAAGGAAGGGAGGTGTTGGGGCATGGATGGCTTGCAAGGATTCTGGAATTGTTCCTGGCCCCTTTTCCAGCCATGGCCACAGGGGGGGTCTCTAGCTTCTTCTATGTAATGAAATAATATGTCATACTGATATATGTGTGTTTCTGCTTCCCCACCCCCACTGTTCCTGGGTGTGTTCGCTAGGAAGCATGAGTGCATGAGTATATGCTATAATTCGAGTTGTACAATCTGAGGAGATGGTCCAAGCTACAACACATCAAAGGGAACTTTGGGGAAAATTTTCCCGTATTGTTTTGTTTTTGCCCTCCCAATTTCTTCTTTCAATTTTCAGAGAATTATCATGCAGAGATAGACTTGCAAAGTCTTTGCTTTTTTAAAATAATTTTCCATTGATTTGGAAAGTATCTAAAGGGACTAAGATTATTTTAATATTCATTTTGTCTCCCATTCCTGCAGAATGAAACATCAGTTACATCTGTTACTTAGTTTCAGTACTGAAAACTCTGGATGCTGCACTTAAAGTATATTCTCAGAACCACAACCTTTCCATATGTAGCATATGTGTGTCTGGGTGCACATGCATGTGATGTGTTTGTGTGTGTGTGTTTATGTATAAATGTAAAGAACTGTGCTACAAGACAGGAGGGATACCTTGGAGCACATTTCATGCAGAGCTTTGGCAATAGCCTTGCCAGGCACATTGCAGTGGAAGACATGGCACTTCAGCACACACGTGTCCTTGTCACTGGCCACGAAAGCAAAATCCCTGCAAGGAGAGGAGAGCCCAATGAGCAAGAGCAGGGCTCCAAGCACTAGCTTTGCTTCAGGAGGAAATGGGGAACTTACCTGTCCCTTGATCAAGCATAGCATGTAGGGGGAAAAAAGAACGGTTAATGAAGAGTATCTGAAGCAGCTCCTCTCTTAATAGCTTTGGAATAAATGGTGATCCCACATGATAAGAAGCAGCAGAAGATCCCATGAGAAAGTCAGGGTGGTGGTGGGTAATCCTAGATATTTTGCACCCAACAGCAACTGTAGCTTAATAACTCACTAGTTACAACATGTGGACTGAAATGTTGCCCTTGGAGTTTGGTTTCAGTAAGAAGGTCTCCTTTCTCCAAACCATCCATTATTACTCACCTGCCTTTGTTGCAGCCCACCCCCCAAACACGAATATTGATGATGGGCTGGCAGTGGATGAGGCTGTGGTCCAAAGGATCCACCAAGTTCATTGTGTCCTCCTTGAGAATCATCACCATGTTTTGACCCTGTTAAGGAAGGCCGAGAAGAGTGAATGGCGCAGGAATGAAACTCCCTCTGTCTAAGGCATGTTTAGCAAAAGCTGTAATAATGGGGACAGACTGTGACTGGGAAGACTATCCTATAGTAGATATGACAGGGAAAGTTCCTTAACTTAACACCTTGGCTCTCATTTCTGGATGAAGGCTTCTTAATAGCCCTCTCAATATAATCAGGAAAGAAGTCTAACAGCAGTCATTGAATAGGTCCCATTATATGAAATGCATGAGCTCTCAGCATAAATTTATCTAAATTTACAGGGTCTTTAGATTTACATCATCAAGCAGTTCTGAAATAAATACTGCAATCTATTCTTGGACAAAATAGAGCACCTGTGTTTTCACTATTTTGGTTTTGTTTTGTTTTGAAGAAGGCACCAATGAGAGACAGTTTGGTGTAGTGGTTAAAGTAACCAAGCTAGAAACAGGGATACTGCAAATCCTACCTTGGGCACAAAGTGGGCTGGGTCACCTTGGGTTAGTCACTTGGATCAATCCTAGGAAGCAGGCAATGGCAAACCACTTCTGAAAAGCTTGCCGACAAAACTGCAGGGACTTGTCTAGGCAGTTTCTGAAAAGTGGACACACTGAATGGAGGAGGCAGGAAATGGAACAGATGCATTCATTTTTGATGCAAACTGTTTCAAGTGTTTTGTCCTATTCCAGCAGTTGTCATTGCAGTGTTGCTTTGCCTTCAAAATCTTTTGAATTTTCCTACTCAGGTCAGTACAGAAGATGGGTCACTCACTTCCCTGTTGGTATTGGCTTAGATTGGTTGGGGAGGTCTGGGGGGGTGGGGGAGGAGTTTGGAATGAAATAGGAGTATTTAACAGCAGATAGATGGAAATGGGTCTCATGGTAATGCTGTACACGTGCTTCAAATTCCTTTTGCATAGCTTTTTCAGATAGACACATAAAAGCAGAAGGAGCCAATTTATGGACAAGGACTCTTATTAGGGTGCTTTCCCTGCTGTATTCCTGTTCCTCCCCAGTCTGTTTTAGTTTAGTCTATGGAAAGTTGGGTTAGGGCATCTTGGGAACTAGTAGTCCGCTGAATGTGGCCCCTTTTTTTGGTCTTCTTCCACATTTCCCTGCAAATAGCCTACCAGGACTTTGGGGTTTAGTTCAGGATTTTCAAGGGTTTGAAGCAATGCATGACCTGACAGTTTGTTTACTTGCCTCCTACTTTGAGATTCATTTGGGACCTGGGCTTTATTTTAATTCCCTTGATATCCTTTCTAAGTCTGTCTCAGATAGCTGCGGTTGCTTGCTTCTGCTGCAGACGTTTTAATTGGCTTTGATGGCTGGGAAACTCTTGCTTGCTTTTTCTTTCAGTTGAGTCACTCCAAAGTCTTCCAATCTGTTCTCCATCTCCAACTTCCTCTATCTCCAACTCTACAAACTTGCAGCTGTTTCTCTGACTGCCATACTCATACATTCTAGAATTTCTGATGGGGTGAACTTTCTGTTAAGAAGTAGGCTGCACCGACAGCCTCCGTTAATGTCTTGGGAGGGTGGGTTTGGCCATGACAATCCCCCCACCCCCGCTGCTGTCCAGCACTTCATAAAATTGCCCTCTGCTGCCATATATGCTCAAATGATTAAATAATAAAACATCAAATAGGTTTTTATTTCCTGGCTATACCCCACTGTGATTCTTCTTGGTGTAAGCCATTTTGTTTAACTTACTAGTTTGACTTTCTGTTCTGAAGGCTGCACTTTTTGTATTGATAGAAACTGAACATAAAGCTCAGTTTGGAAAGTCAAGATGCCCTAGAGCCAGTTAGTCAAATGTAATGATATCAGCCTACAATGGAACAGAAGAAACACATTTGAAAACGAGTGGAAACATCCTCTGGTGCCAACTTCATCCAGGCCAAGGGACAAAAGAAAACCCTAGATCTTTTTCCCTGGGGTTATATACCTTAGGCACTCACCTCACCCCATCTATCAGCAGGGCCAAAATTGCCACAATTGCTTTGGGAAAGTTGCTGGATGCAATTATTTACTGCAATACTGCTTTTGCCTGGTGCCAAGTCCTCCTCAGGAATCTCAACCCAGCCTAAGGAGCGCACAACGAAGCACTGGGGAAAGAGGGGAGGGCAGGTAGAGAGAAGCAGAGAGAGGCAGAGAGGGAGACAACATCAATAGGCATCAAACATAGCTAATGTTTTTCCAACCCTCTTTCAGCTATAAATAAATCTTATGTGTTACTGGACCGCTGAGCTATATAGAGAAAAAGGTTGCTTCCCCAGTCCAATTTCTAACCCTCTCTGTGTGAAATTGGATACTCCTAATGTATCCATTGCTGACTCCATCCAATCTCCAGTCTTTATAATAGCAAACCCTTTTCTCTCCCTGTTTAAGTAATAATGAAATAATGGAAAAGCCTTAATGTTTTCTGTTATTCATCCAGTATCCTATTATATGGGGAGTCCAAAGGATCATGAAGCAGTGGGGCTGGTTTGCCCTGAGCGCCCTTCCACCGCCTTTTTAATTGATTTTTTTTAACAAGGATTAATTATTCTTGCCTCCCTATAACATTTAATTTTGAAAATTTAATTCTAACATTTTAATTTTTATATATATATTTTTTGTCAGGAGCCCTGATGGCATAATGTTAGAATGCAATATTGCAGGCTAACTATAACCTCAGTCAGGAATTCAATCCTGACCAGCTCAAGGTTGACTCTACCTTCCATCCTTCCAAGGTCAATAAAATGAGGTCTCAGATTGTTGGGGAAATGTGCTGACTCTGTAAACGGCTTAGAGAGGGCTATAAAGCACTGTGGAGCAGTATATAAGTCTGCTCTTGCTGTATATATATTTTTTCTATTCTATTGTACACTGCCCAGAGTTCCTCTTTGAGGGAGAATTCAGAAATGTGATAGACAGACAGCTTTGCTTTACAGACCTACAAAGGTCATAAATGTGAAGTTTGGTGACAAACTTACTATTTCATCACCATCATAAAAGCAAAAGATTGCTACAGTAAACAGTCGCATAAACAAGCACAACCTGTACTGTAACAATCTTCATTTTAGAAAAGGCATTTCTTTAATGTGTGAAACAAAATAAATATCTCTTTCAACTTCTTTAGGTACTTTACTTTACATTAAAGTAAAGTCTGTTGATTTCTGCCAAATCTTCTAAACATTTTTTCATCTTTAGTTAATTTGTTAGCTTGTACAGTGTTTATTTTATACTCTCTCTCCTTTACGTATTTTTTTTATATGAACAAAAAGTTGTCAAAATTTGTTAAGAAGATTTCAGTTCTAAGCTTATGAAGCAACATGTCCCACTGACCTATATTTGACTGGCCGACCTGAGTATGCTGTAAGAGGTATTAAAGATGCACTATAAAGTGTAGAATTGAGATTCCATTAGAAGAGCAATACAGAAGAGTGATAAACTTGTTCCTCTAAAATTAGAGTTCTTTGTACTTATAAAGATTAGGTTGTCCTTGGAATTTTATGGCAGGTTCAAAGAAGGGCAAATCCATGACATTTTAAAAGGACAATGCTAAACTCGTTCTACTTATCCTAAAGAAAGGTTTTTCCTCAGTAAAGCAGCTGAGCTGAATGACTTCATGTCCCCCAACTACCCCAGACTGTACCTTGGAATCAGATTCTGGGTTGCCCCGGTGAAGATCCTCCTCGTGCCAGGCCAGTGTGGTCCTGCAACAGGGAAAACAAGTAAAGTGGCAATATAGGAATTCTCAGATAAATGAGACAAGTTTCTGTTCATTCTCAAAACAAATGAGAGACAAATCATGTTGACTTTGCTTGTCAGAACATCTCAAAAGATGATCATATCAGCCCAGGACACTGCAATTGTCATAAATATGAATCAGTTGCCCAACATCTGAATTTTGATCATGTGGTCATGGGGATGCTACAACAGTTGTGTGAAAAATAGTCTGAAGTCACTTTTTTCAGTGCTGTCGTAACTTAAAACGGTCACTAAATGAACTAGTGTATGTCGAGGACTACCTGTATTTAGCATACGATTCTATTTGATTCCAAAAGTGACTGACTGTGGCTGAATATTTATTGCAGGGGGCAGACAGATCTTGTAACTGAAACTTTTTCTCTTTAATCTAGAACAGCAATAAACTTCTATATGAATACAGGTAGTCCTCTACTTACAACCACAATGGAGTCTGCCCATTACAGTCACAAATTGTGATGGTAATTAAGCGAGGTACTCATGTAATTGCCTCACCCTCATTCCTACTCCATGTTAAGTGACCATGTGGGTCGTTAAACAGAGCATGTGGTGCCTCAAAGGTGGAGGAGATCCTGGGAGCCCTAGTACTAACCCAAGCCCTTACTAAAGCACCTCCCCAGCTCACACGTGGTTTTCCCTGGTCCTCCCCCTCCCCCTGCACTGCTTCCAACCCCTCAAGGTCCCCACAAGCCTTGGGCCTGCTTTTCCATCCCACTGGATCGCCATAGACCTTGGGGCTGCTTTCCCATTCCACTGAGCCCCACACCCTCCGTTCCACCCCCAGACACCATTAGTCACTTACGTTTTACTGTAGATCTCCTTCTGAACCATATGGCCTTCCCACATTGTGGGTTTGCATAGGGAAAGGACAGCAGGCTGCTCTGTCCCTCAGCCTCGAGAGGCTGAGTGGCACCATCCTAGAAGTGGATGCCATTTTGGAGCGGTCACAATTCATGGCAGCCAGTTCCAAATTGGCGCCACTTCTAGGATGAAGCCACGAGGCTTCCACTCTGTAGGAAAGCCATGCAGTCCAGCAGCTGCTTCCAGAAGGAACTCTGCAGGAAAAGGTAAGCAACTGTGACCCCGATTGGTGACCGGGGGTAGGGGGTGGGAATAGGGTTTGGCACCCAGCAAGGTGGGAAGAAAGTCCAAAGCCTGTGGGAACCCAGTGGTGGGGGGATGAGGGGAGCATAGGTGGGGGGATTTCTGAAGCATTCCTGAAGTTGTTCATAAGGGCTGGTGGATTGCCAAGCAGCAATTGTAACTTCAAAATCAGGTTTTGGGAGGTCCATCATAACTTTGAACAGCTGCTAACCAACTGTTGGTAAGTTGAGCACTACCTGTAGGAGCAGAAGAACATCATTTTAATTGGAAAAAAAAACTGAACAAAGAATATATAATTACTTCTGAGCAAATGATCTGTGTTACTTATGAGAACATCATAGAAGAAAGTAGTTATGTGCAGGCACTCCATCTCTTTCACTGAGATGTAGTTCTAGACTTACAACCATTCTTTTAGTTTGAACAGTTTGAAATTAGAGTGGAACTGAAAAAAGGGATTTATGACTGTTTTTCACGCTTATGACTATTCCAGCATCCAGTCACATGATTGGAATTCAGTTGTTTGGTAACTGAATGTATTTTTGACAGTTGCAATATCCCGGGGTCATGTGATCACTTCTTGCAACCTCCTGACAAGCAAAGTCAGTGGGGAAGCCAGATTCTCTTAACAACCATATTACTAAATTAACAACTGCAGTGATTCGCTTAACAACTGTGGCAAGAAAGGTGTAAAATGGGGCAAAACTCACTTGACTGTCTTGCTTAGCAATGGAAATTTGGGGATCAATTGTGGTTTTAAGTCGAGGACCACCTGTACCTAGCAGCTCACATAAAGGGGCTTGCATTAACAAGCTTACCTCTTGGAGAATGAAGTCACTGGGCTTGGGGTAAGCGTCTCTGTTGGCACACATCTAACCACAGCAGATTGAAGGTCCTGCATAAGAACAGAAAATAAACTCAAGCTTGTTTATTTGTGAGGCTATTGTCCTACTTTTTATTCACAACCCAAGACGGTTCTCCTCCAATTTTCCCCTCAATTATCCTGTGAAGTAGGTTGGACTGAGAGAGAATGACTGCCCTACAGTTGCCCAAACCATCATCAAGATTACTATATTACCCTGGTTCTCCTGATAATTCGTTCATCTGGAAAAATATTAGGATACTATTTTAGGGCTCCTATGAGCAGAATGTTATGTGGGAATATTCTCTCTAAGTCATGACTTAGTCTATCCTCTCCAGAAATGTCAAAGACCAAATGAAGCAACAATGGTTTTCCTTCATATTTTATATATTCTTCTTTACCTTCTTTACTTCCTCTTTTACTGCTTCAAATGTATTTTATATATAATCTTTATATATACAATCTTTATATATGATCTTTTATATATAATTTATATAAAATTTTATTAAATGTATCAGTGTAAAATACAAATGAAAATTAAAATAGTGGGAAAAGGGGAGAGATGTGTAGGATGAGGGAAAAAAAGGGAAAAAAAAGGAAAAAAAGCATTAACTTCTGACTCTTCAGTGGAGTAGAATGAACATAATAACGTTACAGCCTCAACTTTTACTTAGTATACTTACTATATACTAGCCATTTCTATAACCAAAAAAAGGTGTCTAATTAGTAAATCCCGAAGTCAACATTTCACTTTTTTTCTATTTCAAGTTCAAAATCCAGAAGCAGTTTCCAGGGAGAAACAAAGATAGATATATTCTTTTCTTTGATCAAAACAGTTAATTTGGTCATCTCCACTACTTGCATCAGTTTCTCCAACCAATCTTCCATTGTGGGAATTAATATATGTTTCCATTTTTGCAACTAAAGCATTATCACTACTGTCAACATGTATAACAACAAAGTTCCATTTTTCCCCCAAGTTCTTTTATCTATTACAGGAGGTTAACATCTAGGATATCTCCATTATTTTCTATAGGCTGTTCTTACTTTTATTCTATAAATAAGGTAAAGGGGAGAGCCAGCTTGGTATAATAGTACAGGCTCCAGGCTAGAAACTCAGTGTCGTGGTTCGTCGACTGTAGTTTGGAGATGGCAGTCAAATCAGAGGAGTCAGAGGAGATGAGTGGGAGGGGGGGGAGGGGGGGCGGGTTATTTTATTTATTTATTTATTTTGTCAATCACTTACAAGATAACAGGTATAAGTATAAACATAGTTATGAATACATGAAATGGATACATATAAGAAAAGTAAAAAGAAACAATAGGACAGGGACGGTAGACACATTGGTGCGCTTATGAACACCCCCTCTTAGGAAAGGGGTGAGGTCAATAGTAGACAGTCTAAGGTTAAAGTTTTTGGGGTTTGGGGAAGAAACCACAGAGTCAGGTAGAGTATTCCAAACACTGACCACTCTGTGGTTGAAGTCGTATTTCCTGCAATCAAGTTTGGTGTGGTTTACCTTGAGTTTGTATCTACTGTGTGCTCTTGTATTGTTACGGTTGAAGCTGAAGTATTCATTGACAGGTAGGACATTGCAATGTATAATTTTATATACTATACTTAGAGTGAACTGAAGGCGGCGTGGTTCTAGGTTTTCTAGGTCTAGAATTTCAAGTGTGGCGGCATAAGGCTTTCTGCAACGAGTAGAGGAGTGGAGAACTCTTCTTGTGAAATATTTCTGGACTTTCTCAACTGTATTAATATCAGATATTATCAGAGCCAGTAGAAGGCTCTGAGGAACAGGAGGTCTCAAAGCCAGATGCAGAGTAGAGCCCACGTATTCACGCTTAGGTGGGGAGACAGCTGTTTTGGGGGCCTGAAATGAGTGAAGGGGAAGAACAGCTGGGCTCTGTCCTAGATGCGCATATGTGCAGAGAAGTGTGGAGAGGAGAGCAATGCAGGACTGAGGGCCAGCTATTCAGGAAAAGAAGGAGACATTAACAAGCCCTCCCCTGGCTGAAATATAAGTAAGATGGGTGTGGGAGGTGTGGGTGTCGGAGACACCCATTCATGCTTCAGAAGAGTTCCCTCTGGCGGATTCTTTGCCAGGATTTCCTTGCCACTAACCAGGTCAGTCAGGACTCTTTGTGTTGGAACTGAAGTGCTATTTGAGGCTCCCTGCGGGGAACTCAGAGACTGTTACACTTGTGAATTACCTATGGATGACCTGGAGCTTTGTCAATGAATACCATGAATTCCTGCCTTTCTAAATAAAAAGGGTTTTTTCCTCACGAGGAGGCTGTTGATTTGGGGCTTGTGAAGGCTTGGTCAGAACACTGGGAGACCAGGAATGCTAGTCCCACCTTAGGCACAAAACAGCTGGATCATCTTGGTCTAGTCACTTTCTCTTAGTTCCAAGAAGCAGAAAACTACAAACCACCTCTGAAAAACCTTGCCAAGAAAACCGCAGGGACTTACAGTATAATCTAGCTGAATTCAGTAAAACCTACTACCAGGCAATTGTGCATACGATTACAGTTGTACTAAAAGTTATTTGAAAGTGCTAGACTTGCAAAGAGAATAAGCCACGGCTGTAATGGAGCCAGCCCATTTTGATCATAAGTAGTAACAGTTGTAAAATAGATTGGTCATATAACTACTCCAGTTTTAAGTTCTTTATTTGTGGCAGTTTTTAAGTGAACCACCATGGTCAATACGTGAAATCCATAATGTTACATTGATTAATCGTTCTCATTGTCAGAAAATTCCCCCGTATTTTAGGTTGGATCTTTCTCTGATGGGCTTCCATTCATTGTGTCTTCTCCTGCTGTAGGTGCTATGGAGAACAAATCAATGCCTCTTCTTGTGACAGCCCTTCTAGTACTGGAAGACAGCTATCATGTCACCCCTAAGCCTTCTCTTTGTAAGGCTATACATACTTAGTTTCCTTTATCCTCCAGACGCTTTATCATCTTTGTTGCTCTTCTCTGCACTCTTTCTAGGGCTTCAGCATGTTTTTCTACTGTGGTGACTAGAATTGGATGCAATATTCCAAGTGTGTCTTCCAAGTGTACTATCACTTCCTGTAATCTTGATACTATCCTTCAGTTGATGCAGCACAGGACTGCATTGGCTTTTTTGGCAGCTGCAGCACACAGCGGACTGACACTAAAGTGATAGTCCACAAGGTGTCCACATTCCTCTCACAATTACTACCATGTTTCCACATAAATATGACTTTACCCAGGGGTGTCAAACTGGCGGTCCATGGGCCAGATGCAGTACGTGCAGGCCATGCCCACCCCAGCTCTGAGAAGGGAAAAAACATCATGAAATGTCACATGATAGCAATGTGACACTGCGAGTTTGACACCCATGACCTATCTCGAAAAGAAGCCTTATCCCAATTTTCATGCCTGCACCTAATATAAGCCCTACCCCCAAAATAAGACTTAGCTAAGCCCCATACACCATCTGGTTGTATGAGGTGAGGCGAGGTGAGGTGCAGATGAAAAAATCAAGTTAGGGAAGGGAGGTGGGGGGGTGGAGCTGCCCCATGTGTCCCGCACTTGCGGCCGCTCGCAAGCAAAATGTTGCAAGTCTCATCTCACTGGTGCTGCTGCTTGCCTGCGTAACAGCACAATGCATCATGCAGCCTCCTGCCGCGACTGGCAGTACTGGTGTGACGAGCCACACAATGTCCTGTGCCATGAGTAGCAGCAATGGTGCAGCAAGCCACGCGGTGTCTTGCCACAAGTAATCATAGAAGAAACTGGGTAGCGGCACAATAGGTTTCGGGGCATGGGGCCAAAAAGAAAATAAGACTAGGTCTTATTTGGGGGGAAACACAGTACTGTTAAGCCAGATCCAACTATTCCATACCTGCTTTTTCCTGACGAAATGCAGGACCTTACTTTTCTCACCACTTTGAACAGTCATGAAGCAACCAATCATTAAGTCAAGGACTAGCTCTAATGGGAATTATACTACTCTTATTGGTATTATGATGATGATTGTGATTATTATTCTGTTGCTTTGCATGTACACTGGGAGCTTCTGTACTGGAGACAAATTCTTTGTGTGTCATACTTGGTCAAATAAAGTTATTCTATCCCATCCCATCCCATCCCATCCCATCCCAACCCATCCCATCCCATCCCATCCCATAAAATGAAATAGGTCAAACAAATATAATCAAATGAAATTAACATTCTAATGCTCTTTCTTTTGAACATTGTTTTGAACTGTGATTGAGTCGCTCCACTCAGGTGGAGACAGTAGGTGATTTTGGCATTGAAAACTAGAAATCTTTCTTTCTCAATAGGAAAAAGGGAGACCATGCAGATCCTTGCAGATCCATTGGGAGAATTGGAAGAGCTGAATTAACATGCTATTTTTCCTAGTATCCACTGTAAAAGATTTCTGCTTGCATTTATTGACACACCCGAACAAACAATCAAAATTATGGTGGAATGAGTTCCCAGTTGCTGAACAGCAAGAATGGATATATAAGCAGTCCTGAGCTATGGTTTGTTTTACTGGTTTATTGGGTAAGTCTAATGATTGGGTTCACATATAACATTAAGTAATAACTTGTAATTTACAGCCACAATTCTTGAGATTATCCAACATAAATTAGTCATGCTTCTGTGAACCCAGAGTGTAATGATGATGCAGTTTATAATAGCCATGGTGATTGCCCTGCAGCCTCCAAAAAGAGAGGGAAAGCACTCACCATTCTTGCACGCTTTTTGGAGGCTTAGAAGCTGCACAACAGTACACCGCCTCCTCATGCAGCCCCAGGCATATCATCAAAAATGACATTGCACATCATTTGTGACACATATGTCATATGACTTAACCAGTTTATAATAATAGGACCGATAGTAATAGGACTAGTAAATAGTAGTAGGACTGATAGTATGTCAGAGAGTACCGTTTCTGGAAATGCAGCTTCCCCAGCATGACCCAAACCAGAAGTGCGAGAAGGGTGTTGCCACTGAGTGGTTCCTGTGGGCACATGCCAGTAATAAGTACCAGAAGAGTCATGGATTTTCCTCCATCCTGAAGGAAGGTCGATCTCTCCTTCTGTATTTTGGTCATTCCACAAGTTATCTAAAAAGAAAAGATACGCTGATGATAAAAATAGAAGTTTAATTTTGAAACATTGGGATAATACTGGTATTAAAAAGAAAGGTAAATCAAAATGTTACTCAGTTTATTTTTATATATTTTTTGAGCTGTGGAAATTTATTCTGTGATTAGTTTATCATTTCAGCTGAATCAATGTCTATAGTTTCTTCCCCTAACAAGCTGAAGTAAAAATTACTTCTCATGATTTTATCACAGAAACTGAAAACCAGTTGGAAGCCACTTTAAATGCTACAATACACAGACCAGACATGTTGTTTATCATTATCTCCAATCTTCCCAGCCCTATCCAAAGATCATCCAAAACATACAGCTGCTTTTATATCAAGACATCCATGGTTAATCTTTTAAAATGCTCAGAAATGCCTGCAAGTACAGTTCACACTGCCAAGGAAGCACAGGAGGTGGCAATCGGATTTCCCATTTGTGATTGCTATGATTTGAGAAGGAGGTTCAACTGAGGGTATATAGCTTCTGAACAAGAAAGTCTGTTCAATAGGTGGGAATAACTCATTTGAATTCATTTTTCCATTTTAACAGAAGCCACAGAAAAGCAAACCAATAAAGTTAAAATTCAAGTAATTCAACCTGAAAATAAATATAGAAATGGAGTCTGAGCTTTAGAATGTCAATTTTGCATTTCATGCATATATCCCAGTCATTTATTTTTTATTTCATTTTATTTTTCTTTCAGGATCAACTCACAAACTTGGCTTCTCTTTCCCATTCATTCATATTCAACCTTTCCAGAAAACCTGGAAACTCTGCACACAGAACCTCACCACATCTCTCTCTCTCCCTCCCCCCCCCCCCCCCCCCCCCCCCTCAGTTCAGACCACGTGATAGGACAGCCATTCACTGTCCATTCTTTTTAAGACCCAGAGGCATTCAAGGAGACTAACTCTTAGCTTTGAAGCAGTCTGGTTAGGCAATTTTATTTTACAAATGTCATCAAGACAGTAACTATAACCCAACAAACACTTGGTTTGCAATAAGATGCAATCCAATCATTCCGTTGACTACATACAGTCAGGATGGTGGGTTGCTGTTGTTTTTTACAGGCTTCCCAGCTGCTACATGGGCTGGAAGGTTGCCACTTTCCTTCTACTTCTCTCACTTTTTCCCCCAAACCAAAATAAAAATATCAAGAGAAACTCCACAGTGGAAAATTTCCAAAAACCCTAAAAATTATAGCTTTCATAAGAACCTGCTAGTATTTATATCTTTTTCCTTTCTCAAAAAATGGATACAATCGCCCCAAAGATAAAAGCAAAGCTAAATAAGTAACCTGGTATTTCCTCAGCAGATTGTCAAAAAAGGACAACTGTAGTTTGCAAAAATATGCAGGTCATAGGCTCTTTATTATCCTATTGATTCTCTGTATCTGGATGCAATGTCACTTGCAAACAAGTTTGTAAAATTTTCTACATTACCAAACTGTATTTAATTTAATTGGGTCTTGCCATCTTTATCATAACTGCTATTAAAGTAACAGCTCAGCACTAACATACAAATTACAGTCACTTGCAGCCAGATTTGCTAATGTGAATGCATATGCAAACACACATACACACACACACAAGCTTAGTTTATCTGTCCAAGTTGTTAGCAAGATAATAAAGATTTGCTGCCTGCATTTACAAATGATTACTACATAAGGGGCATTCTAAATTACTGTATATGTAGTTATTGATATGACTACATTGTGGACAACTCCACTCACTCACAGGACTCCAGCAGAGATTGTTCAGTGTCAATTTTGGGGATACACCTTGACCTGTGGAGACGATCGCAGCCTCCAACTAGCAACTGTTTTATCTGCATCAGCCCCAAACAGACTCCATATAAATGGACCTATCTGTGTAATATGATGTTCTGAAAAAGATAGATAGAATTCTTTATTGGCCAAGTGTGATTGGACCCACAAGGAATTTGTCTCCGGTGCATAAGCTCTTAATGTATATACAAACAACGAAGTGAAAGGTTATATATCATTGATCATATTGCAATAATTAATTATAAGATACAACAAGAAGTGATCATCATAGATACCAATAGGAGAAGGTAGTAGGAAAGATAAGAAGAAAGATGAGAAGAAATTCCAGAAAAGCCTGAGTTAAAAAGCAGAATTTTTCAATTAATCAGTTATGCAAGCAGAGAGAAATCTAACTTCTAGGGTGATCAACAAAACTTAATTAATAATTTAATGATTGACTCCCAAATGAATCCCAATGACGAATTCAAAAATGTTTAGGTATCCAATGAGAATTTGTCAAAAACTCAAATATGCTGACCTCTCAGGAATAACACACAGCTTGTTTTTTCATTGAAAAAGGTTGGTTGGTTTATTTACTTATTAAGAAAATGTATATGACCACCCAGTTCACTCACAGTGACATGGGCAGCTTAAAGAAATAAAACTCCAAATACAAAACCCAATGAACTCTTACCCCCTTACCAAACCACTGCCTGAGGGCTATAATGAAGTCCATGTGACATCATTTCACAAAGGTTCCGGAAGACGTTCGGGAAAGTAAAGGCCAGTGACCTTAACCTCTGTTGTAGGCAAATTGGTGGAAATAGTCATCAAAGGAAAAGAAACTTTGTAAGATAGTCCTTGACTTACAACAGTTCATTTAATGACCATTCAAAGTTACAACAACATGGAAAAAAAGCAATTTATAACCATTTCTCAACTTATGATTGTTGCAGCATCCCCATGGTCACATGATCAAAATCCAGATGCTTGGCAATTGACTCAAACTTACGACGGTCTCAGTGTCCCAAGATCATGTGATCAGCTTTTGCAACCTTCTGACAAGCAAAGTCAATGGGGAAACCAGATTCATTTAACAACTTAACAACTGCAGTGATTCACTTAACAACTGTGGCAAGAAAGGTCATAAAATGGGGCAAAATTCACTTAATAAGTGTCTTGTTTAACAACAGAAATGTTGGGCTTAATCATAAATCAAGGACTACCTGCACATAATGAAAGAAGAAATCAGCATGAATTCTGTAAAACTTGTAAATCTAAATCCTGTCTCTACAACTTAAGAATTTTTTGAAGTGTGAGCCTTTCTTGGGTGGAAGTAGCCCCATTAACATTGTAAAATTGGATTTTAAAAACTATGTTGTCCATCAGCAAAGGCTCTTGAATGAATTTAGCAATTGTGGGAGATCTGTCTTTTTATGAGTGCTAATTGGTTAAAAACAGAAAGCCAAACATAAGAATCAGCAATTTTCTCAACAGATCTGTCTTGAGCCCAGTGTTTTTAAATGTGTTCATAAGCAACCTTGACTTAAGGAGCCAGTGTGGCATAGTGGTAAAGGGCTGGATTGGGTGCAGAGAGACTGGGGTTCTAGTCTTCCTTCAGCCCAGAAGGCAGCTAGGTGATCCTGGGCCAGTTACTCTCTCTCAGCCTTAATCAACATCAGGCTTTGCATCAAGCTGGCTGAAAAACAAAACTCTTCATCACATCTTGCACTGATAGTTTCACTGTGTGAAGTAGGTGAATGTTGTGCAAAACAGGTGGACCCTGAAATTAAGCAGGATCTTTAGCTAAGAAAACAACAACTGAGGGATCACAAGATCAAAGGTGTATAAAGTTGTGCAAGACAAGGACAAAGTAGATGGAAAAACTACTCAGAAGATTAGGATTGGAATTTATCCAGTTAAGGTGATTGGAAGTAATATTTAAAGACAAAGGAAAACTCTCACATTGCACAAGAGTTAACACTGACTGGATTATATATAGTAGATTAACCAATCAATTATTTATATCAAACACCAGAGTATCCTATTTATGCAGATGTGTTTAATTCTATACTGATATTTTATGGAAAGATGGGATTGGAAATAAGTAACCAACTTCAATGTTGCTCATAAGACAAATTCAACAAAGACTCAATCCCGATACTTGAAGGGGATTGATCAGATAGCAATAGCAGTAGCATTTAGACTTATATACCGCTTCACAGTGCTTTACAGCCATCTCTAAGCAGTTTACAAAGTCAACATATTGCCCGCATGAAAGCATACAGACTTTTCTTGTTGATCCATCCCAACCCCCCTTGTCCAGTCCAACGCCATCCAATAAGGTGGGGTCTAGGTGTTTTGGGAATGTCTGATGTTCGGAGCAATCAACATTCCTTTCCCATTTTCTCTGGCAGCTTGGTTCCTTGAAGGTTGGTACAAACGGGTTCAAAGCATCCCCTGTCTTCCTCAACTGTCATTTCCCCCCTCCCTATTTCCCATCACATACTAAGAGATTTACTATCCATTTGTTTATCCCACCATGCTTCCTCCCCCCCCCCCCGGCCTTTGATGGTAGGATGCCAGCGAGACGCCAAGCCAAAGATGACAGACTTGACACTGGCATCCTGCTTTTCTTAAAGATCTATCACAAGAGACCTAAGCTTAATTACATAGCTGAGTCCAGGCACATCTAGAAAGCTTACCTTAAGTTATCTTGAATTTTCTGGAAAAGTTAGGTAAAAAAGTTTATACTCATAATAATATTTTTTTTAGTTTGCTTTTTTTCATTTCATGTTTTACATAAATGTTTTCAGTCAATTTTTCTTAAATAGGTAGATAATTGTAAACCATGTGGTCATTTTAAAAATAGAGAATATTGCATGATATAATGATTAATAATTCAAAAGCTACTTTCAGCATGAAAGTATCAGAAAACTCTTAATAGATTTCACTGAAATCTTCAGAACCAAAGCTAGCAGTATGTTTGTATTGTAAGTATTCTTAAAAATGTACAATCTGTATTTTGTACTGTACTCCACATAATGTTCTATAAGTATTTGTCCACTGATTAAGTTAATAGAGGACACGTCATACAAATTTAGGCACTGAGCACAACCCCATTCCAAAACTGTTTCTAGATCACGGGTGTCAAACCTGACGTGTTGCAACTTTTTTGCCTTTGCAGAGCCAGGGTGGGCATGGCCTG